CAAAAAAAAAGAGGGGGGGGGGGGGTTTGAATATAGTGAGCCTGAAAAATATTGGTATTTCCTGATATTCCCGAATCCCAGTATCAGTATGGCATTGGGATTTGGGAATTTTTTGAAAAACCCGAAATTTTTTGGCTCCATTATACCCTGTGGACTCACTGAGTCATACTGTGGCGGAACTTGGAGAAGTAGGCATTTAAATAGACCACAGCCTCTTTACATGCCTACTGCCTTCATCAAGTGCGGCAGCAGCCTTCTGAGTTCACTTGCTGAGTCGCACCGTGGTAGTGGGGCTTGGAGGAGAAGGCATTTAAAGAGACCGTGATCTCTTTAAATGCCGTCTCAATATAGCTGAATGCACCCAAATAAAAGCAAAAAAAAAAAAAAATCAGATTTTTTTCCAGGGTCAGCTATATTGGTAGCCAAATACATATCACTGTATTTTGGGGGTATTTTTCCAACGCGGATAAACCAAATGCACACCCCTAATAGTAATTGAATCATAGTAGTTTTCATGACCAAGGGCATATTGACATAATGTTTTCCTATGTCCAAGTCAGGCTTAGGGTACAAAATCAGAAGTGTAGGAAGCTATACCTATCCATCTATAGATCCTTCATCAGTCAATCTCGGATTTTCATTGCCTCTGGGTGTAGTGCAGTGAAATAGTCACCACTGTTAGCACTAAAGGTACCATTCTACACACTTTCATGGTCAAACTAGTTATGTGGTTGGGTGAGCACGAGTGGTAGTCCTCAAACTGGAATGTTAGGAGTGGGACGAGTTGAGTCTTAACGAGCAAAGAAATCTGGGTGTGTAATGCTTAAGTGCAGAGTTTAATTATAATACTTAAGTTCAGGGATTTACTGTGGGCTGGGCCCAGTTTGTAGAAGTATACAGGGGCAAATTTGAAAACTTAAAGCCAATTGTACCATAAAAGTTGGTGTGGACAAAAGTCCTGTGGGATGCTCCAGTTCTCACATGCATTGTGTTGTTGCTGTCTTTCTGGCCATCACATTTTACTGACGGGTTTTGCTTTAGTTTAGAGGAACAGTTTTGCAGGTTTTATTTCAGACAGTGTTTCTAGTGACTAGACAAGCCACAGTGGCCTGAATCATGAGAAGTAACAGTAAAAAAAAATGTTAAAGAGAAGCGCACAAGAATTAATAATAGTAGCTACCCACATTGGCAATTTTATAATGTGTCATTAGATATAGTGTGGAGGACCTTGGAGGAGACTGCAATAAAACTGTGCCCACACACTCCAAAGATAACCCAGTCCATATAGGTAAAGGTTACTAATGCAGGTGCACAAGAAGCAGCAGACTACCAGGTCCAACTCTGTAAGCGATGTCAGCCAGTACTGTATTCCATACTACATTTTGAAGGGAGAGCAACTGAAGGTACTTCTGGACCTTCTTTGCATCCACATCTGCCTTCCAATTCAGACATTACTAACATTTATTGTGAGATGTGAATGCTTCATCTCCTGCACCACCTCCTGGATTTTGCTTCTTATAAATGTTGGCATTTTACTATGTGAGTTAAAAGTCTTGATTATTTTTGGCATGTCAGGGCAGCTGTAAATTTGTCACTTACCCCTAGTCAGCAATGACTGTGGTTCACAGTGTTAAGGTGCACATAGAAAAGACTGAGCGCTTACCATAAAGGCAACTTCTGTTACATTTTTGTACTCATGTTTTAAAGTTATGTGGAGGAAGTGGCTGGAAAATGACTGAAGGTTTGTTCCCTCCTATTGCTGAAAGGGACAGGTGCAAGCTTGAGACCTGTGTCTCTCCAGTCACATTCTCAGGTCTGACATTTCTAATATTGTAAAGACACACGTCTCTCGTATTTCCCAACATGGCTTTTATAAATGCAAGTAACGTGGAATTTACTGGTAAGTTAGCTTGCAGTTGTCATTGTCCAATAAATTAGGCAGTGATTATTTAAGATACTCAACGTCTGCAAAATCTCCGTATTTAGTCAATTCATATTTATTGTATTGTAAGCACAAAGCAATATAATTTATAACATATATGAAAACTTCTTTTTATTATTTGATAGCACACTTAAAAGAGAGACTAGAGGATTATATTAAGCAGTGGAATGGCCTTGTAAAGATTTTTCGAAACGAAAGGAGAGAAGGTTTAATTCAAGCTAGAAGCATTGGAGCCCAGAAGGCTAAACTTGGACAGGTAGAAAATATTTGCTAAATAAAACCATTGTTTTTCCATAGTCTGAATTTTGCTTTGAACAGATCTTAAAACCATTGATTGTCAATAACTGTTCTTTACTTTGCACAATGCTATCTAGCAGGAGTGCCCAATGTGGCACCCATGGGCACCATTGCACTCACTAACAGGTTTGCTGGCACCTTCCAAGTGTCTTTAGAAAGTGGACAGGGCTGGCTGGGGCTTTTGCCCAGCAGGGTTTCTGACCACCTGTGAAGATTTTTCTTTTTTGCTTCAGTCGCTGCTGGTACCACAGCACAAGGGTCTTCACTGCATTACTGTGTGTGTTCATTTTTAAAGGCATCCTGTTAAACCAAGATTCTGCCTAAAATGTTGAAGAGTTACTTTAGAGTTGTGTATAACTTCACCCTCTGACATTCTGTGGTTGGCTCCGCCTTCTGCAGCAGTCATTTTTATTGGTTTCACCTCCTGCAGCAGCCATTTTTGGTTGTGGTCACCACTCTGTGTCAGAATTCCAAAGGTGCCCACAAGGTTGAAAATACTGGGGACCCTGGTTTCCTTTGTTAAACTGATGTTGACATAAAATGAAAAATGCTCAAGTAAATCAATCTGTTCCATGTAAGGAAATCTCAACTGAGTTGAAATCTCCTTTCCTGTTTGTTTTAAAGGTTTTGATTTACCTTGATGCCCACTGTGAGGTGGCAGTAAACTGGTATGCATCACTAATAGCTCCTATATCTAAAGACAGGTAATAATACTCTGCTTATTGTGGGCTTGCAGGTTACCTTTTTATTTGCTTATGCTAGATATTGGGAAAGTTAAAGCAGTGTATTATTCTTTAGCTTCTAATCAGACCTACAACAAAGTAATGATACAAACTGAGGCTTTTTTTCCAATCTAAAAAGATGTCCATCACTCCTTCCTTCCCTCCTTCTCACAGGAGGAAGCAACAAACATATTGCTCTTAGCAGTACAATAATATATTTGCAAAATATGAAACATGTGGCTTCCATCATTCCTTTTGACAATGTGTCATCAGGGGGGAAATCTATAAAGGAAGACCTAGAGGGGTTTATTGCCATTTCTGCTTGTGACATAAATGTATACCTCTAATAGTTTAAATCCGTCATGTTCACATTTTTACTGCTCTCCCATCCTTCTGTAAGAAAGACGGCACATTTTTGGTAGTGTATTATTCTAGTTAGAATAAAGTACAAAAGATAGCAACTGACTGATTCGATTAGACAGTTAAAACCTTGTCTCTTCCCCTCCCGTGAATGTTTCAGAACGACATGCACTGTGCCTCTAATAGATTACATAGATGGGAATGACTATTCCATTGAGCCACAGCAAGGTGGGGATGAAGATGGCTTTGCCAGAGGGGCCTGGGACTGGAGCTTGCTGTGGAAACGCATCCCATTAAGCCACAAGGAAAAGGCAAAAAGAAAATATAAAACTGAGCCATATCGGTAAAGAATGCTGTTTTCCTTCCGTTGTTTTTATAACTCATGCTTATCTAAATCCTTTCATTTTTCCCCCCTTTCTTTTACATGAACCATGACTCGTTTAAATGTGCCATGTACCTGCTCTCATCCTCACCACCACCATAATCCTGCAGAACCACATGCACTGTGCCGCTTATAGATGTCATAGATGGCAACACTTATCAGATTGTACCCCAAGGGGGTGGTGACGAAGATGGGTTTGCTAGAGGAGCATGGGATTGGAGTATGCTCTGGAAGAGGGTGCCCTTGACCAAACGTGAGAAGGCAATGAGAAAGACAAAAACTGAGCCGTATCGGTAATCACTAAACCACTTACCCATTTCTCCTTTTCTTAAGGGTGTACTCAACTATTAAATACTTGCATGAACTCTGCTGATTTTTAAGCCATTGCTAATGGAAGCAGATGCTCTGCTAAGAGGGGTCATTCTTTTCACTAATACATAGTCCAGCTCTTCTAATGCAGCCTTACTAACTTCCTTTGTACCTCTCTGCCACATACTTTGCACTCTAAGTAAACTGTAGGATGGATGTTCGTGTTCAACAAAATATGTGAGCTGCCTCTGATATAGTTTCAGAAATTGCTTAGCATGCTTTTTAGGAATCAGATATTCAAAACAGTGCTATCCTATGCAGAGTTACTCCAGTCTAAGGTGGTTGGCATGCATAAACAGCTCTTGCTAGCTGGAGGAGTGAGTCCTGCCCAGCCGGCTGGTTTGATAAATGAAAATATGATAACTGGAGATTTAGTGAAAGAAAATGTATAATGTAGAAATCTATTTCCTGAACGTTCTGAACACTTCTGTTTGGGAAATATTCTTGCTTTTTCCCATCCATTTTCTTTGCTTCATGGGTGATTTGTTTTTAACAAAATGTGTTTGCCTAGAAAACGCTGAAATTTTTTTCATTCTCTTTTTCCCTAAACTAGTGAAGCTGTGGTTCTGCTTTGATTGACTAACTTTGCAATCAGAATTACTTTAATTTAAACTAAGTGTATTATTTGAATGTGAGTTTCTGAGATTCTGGGTATTACTTTATCCTAACTTCTGGTGTGTTCACTAACATTCCAAAATATTCCAAAGAAATTATGAAGCTTTGGACAATTTCAGTCTGTGAAGATAAAAATGTTGTCCCTATAACAGAATTAAATGTCTTCTTAGCATTCATGCACTATTATGAAACAACTGTAACAGGAAAACAATTATCAGCACATACTTGGCAATACATGTTGTACATGTTGCTTTCTGCAAATCCCAGTTTCCACTTTTAAAGCAGAATTCCTAGTCCTCATGACTGTGGAGGAAGACCATAAAAATGTGTTGTTTATTTTCATAGAAATTAGATTTCTAGTACAAATGAGAATTCATGATAAATTTGGACCTTCCTAACTCCCTTTCTGAGGTTATATCTAAGTTTGAAAAGGTGTAATTTTAAAACAAGACTGTTCTGTCAGTGTGATAGCACATGATGTACTCATGTTTTGTAGTTATCCTGATGTTAGCTATCTTTATACTGGCAGAACCGTACAGACACACATGCATGCCTCTAAACTGCTTTGTAAACGGAGGGAAATATACAAAATTAGTTGGTGGTTTCAGGGAAGGGGTTTGAATGTGAAAATATTGAAGTTAACTCTGAATGATTCATGGCTCTGATACATGTATCAAGCGTATAGTCTTAACGAATGAGTACTGAAATGCCCAGTGCCCTCAATAGAATTCTGACTGGAAAAGCATCTTAATGTCTTTTTCATTAATTACTTTTAACTAAGTACACTCACCTGAAACTATTACTAACATATCCATGTAGCAGGGGAGTTATCCAAGGACTGGTTACGCACATCTCTGTGCTGGACCTGGAACACTTGGTATTCCTAGTTGCAGCATATCTAAAATGATACCAATTGTTAATAATAATTAGAATAAAACAAAGCAAACTTTGAAACTGAAAATGCATAAGGTTTGGGAAGCCTTGCTTACCAGTCCTGCTAAATAGATACAAGGACTAGAGTTTGAATTTGGAGATAAAACATGTAATTGTATCCTGGACTTATATACCAACTTCCATTCTATCTTCCGGGTAGATGTTATATTGCATTATGCTGTACATCTTTCCTTGTCCCTTTGAAAATGTGTACACAAGCTGAGCTGGGATTCATCCTTGAAATGCAGAATACTGCCATGAACATGCCGACTTCCAGTCCATTATCTCAGTATTCAACAGAGTTATCATATTAGAGATAAACAGAACAGCTGAGTTCAACAGGAGACCTTGATTCATGCAGCCAAATACTGTGTTCTTATTTAGCCTTCTACTGCTATGATCCTGGCACACAGTTGCCCTCATTGAACAACATGTATAGGTAGATGCCAACGTATCTAGAGGGCGAACAGGAACCCCTTCCTCCTTCTACATACATATGTGGTCTGAAGAAGGCTATTTTTAGGCATAATATGAAAAATTTCTCCACAACTGTAAAGGGAAAAAATGTGATATGACTGCCCCTCCCTCATTTAAAGGAAGACTGTTATACCAATCTCTTTATATAGCATTGCTGAACTAAAAATAAAATAGACTCACCTATTTTTAGGGCCAAACATTAAGTGACACTCAGCTATTTGTTTCCTGCAAAAGCTTTTGTATTATTAATGAAAAGCAGCCTTGGAAACTGCAGTGGAGAAGGAAAAGATCTGCTAAGGAGGGAGTTTCTGCTCAAAATCACCTTCTCAAACCGCTTGTAGGGAATGATGCACAGACAACATATTTTTTTCACCACAGGAGGCACTAAAGGTTTATGAAGGTTAAGCAGACCCTCCCCCTGCTACTCTTTCCATCCTGAATCACAGCCTCCAATTCTGCTTTGTCCAAAAATAACAAAAAAGGAAAAGAATTGTGCAATTGAGTGTCACTTGTAGCCTTTGTTTGATATCCGTTATTTCAGAACTATAATCATCGTAGCCTACAGTCAGAACTTCAAACTGAAACCATTGCTGTAGACTTTGTTTTTTGCCACCAACAAAGCTTTATAGTTTCTTTTTGATCTAAGACAATAGCTAGTTGCTTTTTTATATAAAGGCATTTCTTTTTCATCTCCATGCCATGTGAACTTTTTATTACATTTTCTCTCTCCTAGATCCCCTGCAATGGCTGGTGGATTATTTGCCATTGAACGTGACTTCTTTTTTGAACTAGGTCTCTATGACCCAGGTCTACAAATCTGGGGTGGTGAAAACTTTGAAATTTCATACAAGGTAAGCAACATTATGAATGAAACATTAATTCTTCAAGTAAATATGAGTCTAATCTCAACCCAGTTCTTACATGTGTCTCGATTGTCTAGTGACTGAAGTGCTGCTGTCTTCCCATTATCCCATTCCTATCCAGTGATATAGAGAGACAACTATGTTTCATTCCTGCCTTCCATTGCAGTGTTTGAAAGCTGAAGCTTGATTTTCTGTGGGGCTGCTGTTTCTCTTGGGTTGTGAAGTAGTTGCTTTGCTAACATCAGCTTACTGTCTGCAGCCTGATATGTACCACCCGTCCTTTGATCAGGCCCGTAGGATTTTGTGGTTTGTGTGGCAATTTTTTTTCTGGTGGGGCTGAAGTTCTCAGTGCGGAAAGAAAAGCCATTTAGCCAATAGCTGTTACCAGGATAGATCTCTAAATTGCAAGCTGTCATACACTTTATTTTATTTTATTTTTTAATTGTATTAGCTTATATACAGAAAGGGGAGAAGGGGAAAGGAAGGAAGAGAAAAAAATACATAAATATTTAAAAATTCCAATTTAGCATTCTGCATGCATATCTTCTCATTACAATTTCACAACTACTTCATCTTATTATTCTTCACTTGATCTTATTTTCTTAATACTTAAGCTTTAACCAGTCATAGAACGCTCTCCAAGGTCCCATGAATTCTTCTTCCATTTTTCCTTTTAATATATTTGTCAACTTGTCCATTTCAGCACATTCCATAATCTTCAATATCAACTCATGTAGCGTTGGAATCGTCAATGTCCTCCATGCCATTGCAAATAAAATTCTGGCAGCTGTTATAACATGTAAAATAAAGTATCTGTGATTCTTATCTAACTCATCTCGTAAACAGTTTAACAAAAATATCTCTGGCTTAAAAGATATTGTAATATTCAAGACTGACTGTAAGAAAGTATGCACTCCAATCCTGAATTTATGAACCTTTTTACATGTACACCACATATGGTAATACGACCCAATATGGTTATTACACTTCCAACACATATTACTCAAGTTTTTATATATTTTAGCCAATCTATCTGGGGGTTAGATGCCATCTATAGAACATTTTATATAAGTTTTCTTTGAACAAAACAGATTTAGTCAACTTGGTATTCACTTTCCATATTTTACTCCACTGTGAGAGATCGATGTTATAACCCACATTTTGCATCAATCTAACCATACATTCTTTAACTATTTCGTCCTGCATTTTCAATTGCATCAGCATACCATACATTTTCTTAATAAGTTTTTCTCTTTAAGTACATAATAATTTTTCATATGCACATTGTTCTGAATAGACTCCATCTGTCTGTTCACCCTTACTATATCTAGATTCCACTTACATTCTAGTCCACCAGTCTAACTTTATTTCATTTTTCTGAGATTTTAAATTATTTTTATCATCTAACAGTTCTGCATATCTAATAACTGCTTATTTTGAAGTCAAAGTTGGTTAAGAAAAAGCTTCCACTGGAGACACCCATCTTGGAATTTTAGTATATATCAAGCGGAGGAATCTTTTCCCATGTTGTCAGTAATGATCTGATTTTTAAAATATTAATGTCCGGAGCTTTTCCCATACCATAAAAGGAGTGCCATCCCAGTTTTAAATCGTGTCCTAGAGCCAGCAGCCTATGTTCTGCAAGTAGAATCCATTCTCTCAGCCAAACCAAACTTGCTGCTCTATACTAATTCTTCCAGTCTGGTACTCCAAATCCAGCATTATCTTTCGCATCCTGCAAGGCTTTCAATTTAATTCTTGGCTTTTTCCCTTGCCATATAAAATTCTGTGTCAGTTTATTCAATTTGTCAAAGAAATGTTGTTTAATGTATATCACTAAACACAACAGGATCACAGAGATACTACACTCAGTACAAACCAAAACCAAAATATCCCGTGTAAATAACAATTGTTCAAGGTCTACTAACACACAAAGTTTTTACTAAAGGCATATGCCTCGAACACCATGCATGAATCAAAAACAATACATGAAATAAACTGTGAATATTCTATAGCAGTAGTGGAGCATATTAGAATATTCAGTTTATTTCATGTATTGTTTTTGATTCATGCATGGTGTTTGAGGCATATGCCTTTAGTAAAAACTTTGTGTGTTAGTAGACCATGAACAATTGTTATTTACACGGGATATTTTGGTTTTGGTTTAATGTATATCGGCAGTGTCTGAAATAAAAACATCATACGTGGTAAAACATTCATTTTCAAAATTACTATTCTGCCCATTAGTGATACTTGAAACTTTTCCATTTCTCTAAACCCTTTTTAATGTCTTGCAACACTGTGTTATAATTGTTTTTCATGCAACACTTCGTTATAATTATCTTTCATCAGGGAACTACATTTTGCTGTAATATTAATACCCAAATATTTGACTTTCTTCTCCAGTTGAAATCCAGTCAACAGTGCTATTTCAAGTCTTTGTTTCAATGTCATATTTTTCGTAATCATTTTTGTCTTCTGATAGTTTATTTTCATTCCCGCCATTTTTCCATATTCATTAATCAGATTCATCAGTTGTTGTACAGAATCCATTGGGTCTTCTAAGATAAATTCCAAATCATCCTCAGAGGCCTTTAGTTTATTTCTCTTATTGATGTCCCTTTAATAAGGGAGTCTTTCCTAATAGCTGCTGTCAACCACTTTAGATGACAGTTCTCAGCTGCTGCAAGTTAATCACTTCTGCCAGCCTAAGCAGAAATTCTGATAGCAAGCTGGCAGGTGGGGGTGATGACTTATAAAGTCATGAAAGCTAACATTTAGGCAGAAAAACTCTCTTAAAGGTGACCAGTTTCTTAACACAGAGTTAGAAGGGATCCTAGAGGTTACCAACTCCAATTCCCTTGCTCAGTGTGGGAATTAGTCAACTACATCACCCCACTCTGCTTAAGGAGCGCATGCCTTTAAAAAATGATTGAAAATGATTGAAAAGGCATTTACAGGCAAAATTCTTGTGGGGCTGTGCCTTTAAGAAAGGGGGCAGAGCCCCCAAAAGCCCCACTACAGGCCTCCTTTTGATATTCTAATCTCTGTTTGTGCGTGTTTAATTTTTTCCCTCTTCCCTTTGCAGATCTGGCAGTGCGGAGGGAAGCTGTTGTTTGTCCCTTGTTCTCGTGTTGGACACATTTATCGTCTCCAGGGATGGCAGGGGAATCCACCTCCGGCATATGTTGGATCATCGCCTACTCTAAAAGTGCGACCTGTGTCATTAAAGCACCATTCCTCTTCAATGGCTAAATTAAAAGTTGCAGGTTGCAGTCCTATAGACACTTACTCAGCAGTAAAGCCTATTGAACTTAGTAGGTCTTACTTCCAAGTAAATGTACATAGGATTGGGTTTATAGATGGATTAAAATATGTTGCTCTGTTTCTGTCACATAAATGTTAATTATTTATTTAAGGTCCTTGCCTAGTCAATGCTAGATCAAGATGGGTAGCCGTGTTAGTCTGTCTGTAGCAGTAGAAAAGAACAAGAGTTTGCTGTTTTCTAGTCAGTGCTAGTCAGTGAATTCTTTATTAAAACTGGTACTGCTCACTTTGGTTTCATATATGTACATATGACTTACAATTTGCTGATCTCTCAGTGAGTGGGTACCTGTTGAGGACTAGCCAACATTCTTTTTCCAGTAAAAAAAGTACAAGTTCCTTAATACATTATTATATTGAGATTGCCCCCCAACTGGACTTTACTACGCCATTCTTAGTCCTGAGATGGTTTTATATTTTAAGGCATTTACAATGCTGTAGTATTTTTAAATAAAGATGCCAAAACGGTGATGTTGTGTAATAGCCCTTGAAAAGTTTTCTTTTAATTGCTGTGATTAAAACTACCCTACTTCTCCTCCTGAAAAGTACAATCCCAAAATAAAAAGGGGAGATATAAAGTAATTCAGGTTTGAGGTTTTTTGCTATTATATGTTATAATTCTTTCTTTTTTCTTTTTTTCAGAACTATGTCAGAGTTGTGGAGGTCTGGTGGGATGAATACAAAGATTACTTCTATGCTAGTCGTCCTGAGACAAAAGCACTAGCTTACGGTGATATATCTGAATTGAAGAAATTTCGTGAAGATCATCAATGTAAAAGTTTCAAATGGTTCATGGAAGAAATAGCTTATGATATCACATCACACTACCCTTTACCACCGAAAAATGTGGAGTGGGGAGAGGTAAATCCTAAAACCACTGCAAGCTACCATGTGGGAATTAAGGCTAAGATACTCAATACATTTACCCATGGCTGGGGGTGGGGTTCCCCTGACCTGACTCACTTTCTGTGTAGCCACATGGCAGATGTGGGGAACTTACTTGCCCCAGTGCCTGATTTGGATTGAGACTGCAGTGCCATTTCTGTTCAGGAAAACTGGAGTAGGTGAGAAGGCCTCACTTGATGCCACAGTCAGATCCAAATTGGGCCTTAAGGGACTTGAATAAGTCCCCACAACTGCCATGTGGCTGCAGGAAAAGTGAGCCAGGGTTAGAGTAACTCTGACCCCTCTTTTGGCCAAACGTATCATGTAGTATGACCCTTAGAAGTATAGCTAGCATAATATATAATGTAAGAATGTTTCTTCAAGCCTTTTTCAATCTCTTTGTTTTGTACGGATTTAAATAGGTTGAGGTACTCCTTGCTGAACCTGTGACTGAAGAGCACTTCTCATGAACGAATAGACTTCTAAAATATTTATTGTGCTAATAACTTATACTGGAAGGCTTTTGAAGACAAAAAATGAAGCAGTTTTCATTGTGAATTTTATTGGCTGCACTTGAAAAGATACTGCACTGTAAATCTGTTATCTCTTTTGTCTATCCTTCTTGCTCAGCAGCTTGGAAATTGTCTGCCTTCCATTTCAGTATTTGTCCACACATGGTAAAGATTAACATACGTACATTAGATACATGTTCAAGTCTGGTCCACACTTAAATGGCTTGAGCATGAGGAAGAAACAAAGGGCTTCTAAAGGATCTTTGACAGTATTGCAGGACACCACTGCAAGCTTGGAACCAACTTTGAGAGTCTGGAGAGAGTGAAAACACCACAAGCAGCTGTTTCTAACATTAGCAGACTCAAGTACTCAATACCCAAAACCCAGAAGAGCTGAAATATTCCAGTTATTTCATAATCCGTGCATTGTGTATGATAGTCTACTTGAAAGGGAGACAAGAGGCCAGTGACGCAGAGCAAGGACTGAATCCACCTATTTATTTATGTCAGGGGAGTCCAGTTCCCAAACCAGGGTCCAGGCATCCTGATGGCCAGTCATACAAAAAGGTAACCTAAAGGGAAAGATAGGCAAACAAATGTTCCTTATGTCAGAATAGGACACTTCTGTGGCAGCAAACGTAGGTGAAACCAGTACATGTTGAGCACATTCTAGCCTCAGTTATAGACAAACAGCTTGCTTTTGGGGGGCTTTTTTTTACTATGCTTGGAAAGAGGAGAGGGGGCCACGTAAGGAATCAGGCATGCTATGTAATTGGCCCCAAAGAAAGAAGAGAGTGGTTCAGGGTCTTGGGAATATTTCTGAATAAGGAAACAGAGGGAAGGTCTCCAGGTGTGTGTGTGTGTTAGGGTGTGGGGGGTGTTGGGGGGGGTGGACAATTCAAACATTCCAAATTACATGATTGGGACAGTCTGACTGGATTGTGGGAGATGCTGACTCTTTCTCTGGCAGAGTGTTAATACAGCAGGATCACAAGACTAAGAGCAGATTGATTAATCCATCTGATAAATGGTCTGATACTGGGTGAAGCTCAGCTTCTGCCTGGAATGGCTGCTTCTGTCAGTATTTGAGATGAGATTAGGTGGGGACCTATTCCTTTTGCCAATTTTCCATCTTTTGGGGTGATAACAGCCAAAAACCTGGCCTCTAAACTATAAGAAGGAAGCTGGTTCCATGTCAAGATGGAAGGGGGTAGAAAGAAGAATCAAAATGGAGGCATGATGGCAACAGCACCAGAGAATTAAAGGCCTCAGAGAGTCTTGGAGTCCTGTAGCCAACTCTCCTGCACTGGGAAAGGATCCTCTATGCTCAGACACCATGAAAAGATAAACTATTGTTCAGGCTACATAATATTATAATCAGACAGCTGGAGCCATGGTCGGAGTGGGGGCAGGGATACAAAGGAAAGAATAGGTTTAGAAAACATGTTTCTTCAGTCAGGTGAGCCAACACACCTCTAAATGGCTGCTATTTGATCTGTCCTAGATGACAAATTACATTTTCTTGTAAAATAGTATGAGATAAGAAATTACACAATATTTCCTAGAGTTAATTCTAACTGTATTACATTGAAGAGCTTAGTCGATCACAAGATCCAGTCTTTCTAAGTACACAATTCTGATTTTCTATGGACGAGTGATAGTATGTAGCTATTAAGAGACATTCTGTGCAATCCTAAGAAGAGTTATAGCCTGCATTAACCCCATTGACTTCAGTTATAGACAGTTTAGTGTAGTGGTTAAGAGTAGCAGACTCTAATCTGGAGAACTGGGTTTGATGATTCCCCACTCCTCCACATACAGCTGCTGGGTGACCTTGGCCAAGCCACAGTTCTCTCAGAGCTGTTCTCTCAAGAGCAGTTCTCAAAGAGCTCTCTCAGCCCATACCTGCCTCACAAGGTGTCTGTTGTGGGGAGAGGACGGGAAGGACATTGTAAGCTGCTTTGAGACTCCAAGTGAAGGGTGGGTTATAAATCCAATCTCTTCTTCTTCAGTGGGCATAGAAGGGTGTAATTCTATTCAGGATTGCACTGTCATTCGTAATAGTTGGAGAAAGTTATAAGTTCATTCCAACAAACAGCTATAATTTCACCACCACTATTGTTTCACTGGTTTTAAGTTTCCAAACTGTCCTCCACTCAAACATCCTCATTGCTACAAATGTACAGCCTTTGCTGATCACAGCACTCCCCCTTTGCATATCGCAGTGTGACTAAGCAAGTAGTAAGACAGCAGAAGTCTGTAGTTAAAATATGAGTGGTCCTGAAGGAGTCTAATTTAGGTGCCAGGGAGGTGGGAACTGAAAGGGTTTTGGGAGCCGTTATTCATGATTCATCCATCAATCTGTCACATTTGGTGGCAACCAAAGAAATCAAGGGTTGAAGCAAAGCGAGCACAAAATGCCTAGTCTACAGAATAGGAACTGAAAGATTTGAATGTTCAATGTAGGCAAGAAGCATAAGTGTATATATAGCTAGTAGATTTTAGAATAAATCTAGCAAGTACAGGCAGATCCATTGAACAATTCAATGATACATGTAATTGTCCTCTTAACAATCACTAAGAATACACAATAAATCATATTAAATCGAAGCAATCTTACAAAAAAGGGGCAGGGAATTGCCTTTTCTGTGTGACTGCTGCTCTTTCAGTACATGTCGGGAAATGCCTGCCTCGAGGAGATGACTCATTTGGAATAATCCCCCTTTTCTTTCCTTTCAAGATACAAGAGTATACTGTAGTAACTGTATATCATTGCAGCAAGTGCTTTCTGTAAAAAAAAATATCTTGGGTAGGGTAACCATGCTGTAACATGTTTGGAAATTTCTCGTTAAGCCTTATCATTATTTTGCTTTTATTACTTTTCCAGCTTTCCCATGGCGATAGATAGATAGATAGATAGATAGATAGATAGATAGAGCCATCTCACAAATTATGATTGTCTGTTGCAAACTTTTCTTTTTTTTTTTTCTCTGCAGTTTTGTATATATCCATATTTAAAGTACTCCAGAAGTGTTGACCTTGACATGCATTTATCCAGGAGGGATTGCTTTTCTTCTGTCTTTTAAGAGTCTCTTGATATAGTCTGGCTCCAGCACGCTGAACTGATACCTTTATTGAATTGTTTCATGTTGATTCAGGAATCTTTTCATGCAGTTACATACTGTTTAAAAGTACCTGTATCTTTTTCTTATATAACATTTAGATATAAACTATATATATATTCATATTCCAGATTAGAGGCTTTGAAACTGCTTACTGCATAGACAGCATGGGGCACACCAATGGAGGCTTTGTAGAGCTTGGACCGTGCCATAGAATGGGAGGAAATCAAGTAAGTTATTTTGGTATGTTTTGAATTAGGTGATGCCAGAATTGTATTTTAGAGTGTTTATGCCCCACTTTCTATTTAGAATAAATACTCTTTTGAATCTAAGTTTTGTCCTCAGTTGATTTATTCTGCGCCAAGTCCAAAGCATGTAATTGCTGCTGATGTTTAATTTTAAGTTTAAAAGTTCAATAAGAGAAACTGGTCAGTTGGTTGTGAAATTAGAACCCACTTCTCCCAGTCAGTAGTGCAGTTTTAGATTGAAGTGCCTACAGGCGAAGGCATGTGATGCACTTGTGGTAACCCTTCATGTAGTAGCCAGTAGGTCACATGATAGGATGCCTTCACAGGCCTCCATCTCCTTGGGCCCATTCTGAATCTTTGACTGATTTAACTAGTTGTAAAGGATTGTCTACTTGCTGATTGGGAGAGTGATCTTTTAGGTTCCAACTCCTTGTTTCTCCCATTGTTAAACTGTTCTGCTGTTCTCCAAGGCAGACTCTCAGCGTTGAGGAGTTAAGATGCTTGTTAGGGGTGTTGACACAAGGAACATCTTTTATGGAGCAATAGGACTGCATTCCATGTTATATGAGGTGATAAAAGGAATGAGTGCAGGCTCCTAATAAGGTTGACAAAGCATCTGCCTATAAAGCTTGAGAAACTTGAACAATTGGAAACAAGGTATATGTGTGATAAGTTGCTTTCAGTTTGGGAGGAAAGGCTTTGATGGGATTTGATTTAAAGGGAATATTACATGATAGTATTTAATCAGTTATGAACTTTTAATAATAGTACGGTAGATATTTACTTGTTTGTTAAAACACAACAGTATCCATGTACTACTTCAGATTTTATTGTTAGGAAATATTTCATTATTTGAATAGTATTTTCTTTCCCCCCTGGTAGCTGTTCAGAATCAATGAAGCAAATCAGCTCATGCAATATGACCAGTGCTTGACGAAAGGACCAGATGGATCAAAAGTCATGATTACACACTGCAATCTAAATGAATACAAGGAGTGGCAGTACTTCAAGGTATCTAATGGGCTTAGATGTAGGAGTCAGATGGCTATCCTAGAAACGGGGTGGAGTAAGGAAGACAGACAGAAACCTGGGTGTATCAATGAGAACAGAAATCTGCATGCAGAGTGCATTTCCTTTACAACTGAATACCTAAGGCTTGCAGATCAAACTGTGTGATGGCTGAGGAATTCCAAGTACTTAGTAAAGTCCTTGGGAGCTGGTGTCAGACTTCTAATGCAGCAGCTTCATGCCAGAGTCTCCTTTTGCGGTTCTGCTGCTGCAGAATAATACCTTTTTGATCAGGAACAGAGTGTGCCTGTTTGCTTGCAGCGTGATGGCGAAGGCACTCATGAATCCCTTAATGTTCATGCTCCTTTTCTCTTGAAAATATTTTAATAACAACTAATACATTTGGGATTAAAACGACACTTATTTGTTTGTTATACCTGGCTTTTCTCCTTAATGGGAACCCAAAGCTGCTGACAGCACTGTTCTCTTCTCTTCCACTCTAACCTCACAACAGCAGCCCTGAGAGGTAGGCTGGGCTGAGAGAGTGGTGGGTCCAAGCTGACCCAGTAAACTTCCATGGCAGAGTGGGGATTCATACCTGGTTCTCCCAGATCCTGGTCTGATACTCTAGCCGTTGCACCACACTGACTCCCAAGAGCCGAGATAGGTCCAAGACCCACAGAGCTCCTTTGGCTCAGACAAGGACCTTTCACTGGCACAGTGGAATTTGTAACATATATTAACGTCTTCAGGCAGCAGAGTGGCATATCACCGACTGCTGTTGAAACTCCTCTCAGTTGTCTTCCATGCTGCACAAGACGACAACCATCCCACCCACCCCTAAGCCATTTAAAGCTCTCTTGAGGCTCACAAAACTAGTTTGAAGAAAAGATTGGATTTATACCCCGCCCTTCACTACCCAAAGGTGTCTCAGAGCGGCTTACAAACTCCTTCCCCTCCCCACAACAGACACCCTGTGAGGTAGGTGGGGCTGAGAGAGCTCTGACAGAAACTGCTCTTTTTCAAGGACAGCTGTGCCAGAACTATGGTTTGCCCAAGGTCAAGTGAGTGGAGGAGTGGGGAATCAAACCCAGTTCTCCCAGATTAGAGTCCGCGCACTTAACCACTACACCAAACTGGCTCTCCAGTTAGTAAAGTTAGCATGGTTTCCATGAGAAAAATTAAATAAAATTAACTTTTTGCTTGGATTTTTATTTTCCAGAATCTACATAGATTTACCCATATTCCTTCAGGGAAATGTTTGGATCGTTCAGAGGTTCTGCATCAAGTGTTCATCTCAGACTGTGACTCTAGCAAACCAACACAAAAATGGGAAATGAACAATATCCTTAGCGTGTAGACTGAACAGCCTGAAACCTACCTACTGATCCGTTTAATTCGTATAGGACTGGAGATAGCCTGAAAACTGCTGCAACTATTACCTTTGTACGGCTGCGAGCCCAGAACCTCCTGATCTGGATGAAGGACATAGACGGACTGTGATGGATTTATCATCTGCAGTTAATGTTTACAAAACTGCTCTTACCTTAAACTTTATAGATGTTTACATCTTTATTTGTGTGTGTTTCGTTTTAAGATGTTTTAAATAGGCGATAATTTAATGTGCTTTTCACGGTGTTCCCATATTTACTGGAACAAAGTTAAAAGCATCTGCTTAGATCTGACAACAATTTATAGTTGCTTCTGCTTGTTCAGGGGGACTTTTCTTCTACCCCTTCTGGCAGGGCCTTCTCCCTGGGCCTCCCCAAAAGCCCCTCGTGAAGGCAGAAGGAATATCAGGGGGCTGTGGCCACAGGAGAGTTAGCAACATAGACACCTTTCCTGTGCATGCAGATGTGCCTTATGCTCATGCACAGGTAAAGGATTCAGATCCAAGCAATTCTTGTGTTCTTTGGGATTACACTCAGGGGTCTGCAGGCAGTTTTTTGTTTTGTTCTGTTTTTTAACACACTCACACTTGAAAAAGGTTGGAGTAACCAGATTTTGCTATAACATGGTGATTATCAACCTGTTGTACGTTGTTTTGATTTTACATATTATAAGCACTGCCACAGGTTTTTAGCCAGGGTGGCCTTCTTTCACAGTCATGCTGCTTTTCTGAAAGGTGAATTTTCAACATATTTAGTGCCTCTTTAATTTTACCTCTGTATTTTCCACAAGAAAAGCTTTTTGTTTTATAGTATGGGTATGGTTAGGTGTCTCCTTTTCGAACAGGGGCGAGTTGGTACTACCCACATGACACTTAAAGAAAAAAATTATTGCCGTGTTCTCTAGTGTACTGCTTATTCCATACCATTAAAGTAACCAACTGGTGCACAAGTCTTACTAGCCCTGTACAGAAGACCCATCCGTCCCCTGGCTGATCACACAGGGAGGAAAACCAGGAATGAGTGTTCTGAGCTCCACCTCTGGGTGATCACCAAATGATCTGCACCGTGCAAATGTGTGGAGAAAGTGTCCATGCGTACACTCCCTCCCTGTGATCCGCATCCTCTGTACAGGGCTTCTGTGAATTAAAGGCTGCACGAAAAACCCAAAACTATGATCCTGTAACTTCATCAGAACCTTTAAAGAAGGTTAGATACTGGGTAGCACTTAAATCCATGAACCACTTGTGTGAAATAGCATTAAAGCAGTTTAAATCTTCTGTTTTGCAATATCAAGCTGAAACTTAGCACTATGTGATGCATTCAGTGGAAGTGAGCACTCCAAATTACAGCTAAAAACATACAAGCACTAACTTCCCTGCTGTATCAAAGCCTTACAAATCTTCTGTATATGTCAGAATTGAAATATATCGACTTCTGCAGAACACAGAAGAGTAAAATTGATCTGATTCTTCACTTTTCTTGTGACAAAGGGAAGCTGGTTGATGAAGAACTGAAACATTTTGTTTCGTGATTATTGTGCAAGCAGGCAGCATGCAGAGGGGATGCATCTAGTTATAGAGTCATATATAGATTAGAAATGGGCAGATTGGGGGGCTAGATTTATTATTTTGTACAAAAGTGTCTTCTCCCTCAAACTTTCTCCCTCCCATATTTGGAAAAAAAAATCACAAAGTGTTTTTGACACTAGGATTTATGCTGACACTTATCCAGTGTCGTGATTCCAAATTCCATAATTGTGCCATAGCATGGAAAGAAAAGGGGGTGTGTGGAATATTAGGAAGTTCACATACTAAGGTATAGTTTACTGAATATTTGTGCTGAAAGTTTTTGCTTTTAAGGTAATCTTAAATTTTGATTTTTAAAAATGTGAACCGCCAAACCTGCTTTAAGACTTAATCTGAAGGATGAGATGCTGGGCATAATCCCACAGAGATTTCCATCAGTTTAACCATGCTGTATTGGGCTGTGGGTCCTGTAAGCAGTTCGGCACAAAGAGTCCCACTTGGATCAGTTGGTTTGCTGTGCATATGACTGCATATTTCAGATGGAAACTAACTTCCTAAATTATTCAACTGGTGTCTCAAGTATGCTTTGGTTTCAATAGCATAATTTGTGAACAAAAGTGAAAGAACTCCTAAGGAGAGGTAATGGAAATGCTTCCATTATAAGGTCTTTTTTCCCATTTAGGTGCAGTTCAAAGTAGCATATAACATTTTCATGAACACAGAATTTTGGCCTTACAAAGGCCAGGTACATGTGGCCTGAGATCTTTTGTGGCTTGAGTCTTTTCTGGCCTTTTTAAAAGGTGTGAACAAATACTAAATAAAGGAGGACTAAAGGATTATAAGGGTGTGGGCATATTTCATTAGTTGTGTATATGAAAACTGATTCATTCTCTTCGTTGACTAGAGTTTAATTTAATCACATTACTATGCATAAGTGAAAGAGATTGCACATAGATTGTGCACGTCTGTGTTAAATGGGTATTGTGTGCAATGTCATTAAAATCCAATACTTTATGTGAATACGGATCTGTATTTTTAAATTCCAAATCTTACAAGACAACAAAAACTGTTACTCTAATGACTTTTCCTACTGTAACCTGCTTTTAAAAAGTAGTTCCCATATCCTTGCTTTGTAAGTTGATCACTATGCATTTCTACACATTTTATAAATTTGATTTATGCAGATTTTGATACACTGTATGTTTCTGTAAAGATTGTATAAATCTTCAAAGGTTTTATTAGGGATAAATCTGGGTATCCTGTGTATATCTTAATTCTGGGTTGCTTGTTTTTTAGGTGAGGAAAATAAATATTTTATCTTGTGGGTTTATTATACATTTGCACCAAAAGCTGATCCTTTAAAATAATTCTAGGCATGTTCCTATTGAATCAGAGTCTTTATACTTCTTTATTTGTGCATGTGTTTATGTTTAAGTAAAATCAAATGCTTTGATTTTTTGTTAAATTAGTCTTGATCTGATGGCAGTGAACTTATAAAAAAAAATCCCTTGGACATATATGTACATTGAAACAGGATTCCACATGTAGATGCTTGGCTGAATGGAGAACTTTGTGCACAATATGGGGCTAGTAAGAAAATTTTTGTTTAGTTTTCAAATCAGCCTCAAAAGGCTATGTGAGTTTAAGGGGCAGACAGCACTTCTCAAATGAAACCTTCAATCATGCTTTCTAGCAAATCACTCATTATCTGAAATCATACCTGTATTTTAGGGCCTTATTTAAAAAGTTAAAACACAAAGTTAAATACAAAGAAGCAATAAGACAACCATTAGTTAAGATCATAGTAAAATAGAGGAACCCCATAACCTCAAATCGAGTATCTGCAAAAACCCAAATCAACAGACTATCTCCTCTGTTGTCAACATTAACTCAAATGAAAAGTCTATTTCCAAGATAGTCTTTTTTTGCCTCAGAGACTCAGAAAGTGAAGAAGCCAAATATATTGTAGAGGAGAGCATTCCAGAATATTGGTGGCACCATCAAGACGATCCCATTACACATTATACTTGATAAAATCACCACAAACTGTTCCATGTGAAAATGACATGTTTTAATCCTAAAATAACCAGGGGTCTTTTGGGGCCAGAGCAAACCGGAGCGCTGCGCCGGCAGCCCAAGAGCCTGTGCTAATGGTGGCAGGGGCAAGCCCCGCCCCTAGCTTGCCGTCGCCGCATCACCCAAGCCTGCGCAGGAGCGCTGTGGCTCAGGGGACAGCAGGAGAGCCCTGTCGCCGTGTCCCCCGGGCCGTGCAGGAGCGCTGCGGCTCGGGGGCGCCAGG